TCGGATCCGCTGGCACCCTACTCCTCCACCTTCCCCTCCCCCTGGTTATCGCCCATGGCCAGCTGGCCTCCTCCTTCCCTCCATGGTATTCCACTGTCTCCTGGGAGTGGGTCTGGGGGGGGCCCCCCATCTTAGCACGCCTCAAGCATTGCTTCCTACTTGAATGAGTGGACTCACCCTTCGGGGCCCTACCTAGCTGCTGCTAACCATTCTTTTGTCTTTTGGGGATTTCTCAGCGGGTTTTCTTGGCCCTTCCTGCTTTCTTAGTTAGGATTTCCTTGTTCGTCCATCTAGCCGGCCTTGGGCTTATTTTCTTGGAGGCAAGATGTGCAGTTGGCTCCATAGCACATGGGCTTGGGGCATTGGCTTTTTCCTGTGGCGAGAGGAGGGATATCGTTTTTTTGTCGTCATAGCTAGCCCTCCATACGTTTTTTATACCCTAAACAAATAATCAATGAGTTAAACAAAACAACCAAAATCCTTAGCTTTCAGACATCTCCCATCTCCGCTTTATCCTCCGTCTCCGCTATACCTCTGGCGATTGAAAACTCAATACCATGGTTACTATCATGGCTTTCATGGTCTAGCACCACCATCCCCCCCCATCTTCCTCCATCTAGCCTCACCTATAGGAGGTGGGCTTGCTTCCTCTGTCCCTTGGGGTCCTCATTTATTTCTTATTCCCTCGGTTCCATCTCTGGTTGAGGCGTCTCATCTTCAGGATGTTTTCCCTCTTACTACCCCGCCTCGCTTAGGCATTGGCACAGTCGACAACCCCCTTTTCCACCTTCAACAGATGGCTGGGACTACAGTTGCAGTAGGAGAGAACAGCTTACAGGGTATGGTCGATCTCTCCATTCTCTTGCTCCTGTAAGAGGCTGCCTAGTCAGACACCAACGTGGTTCCTGATAGTTGGCGTTCACGAAATTGAGTCTACCCCTCCTCTACAGTTTAGAGTGTGTTTGGCTGGCAGGTGGTGGGATCTCTTCCACCACAGTGATGCTATCTCTCCCAGAACAAGGGACTACATGAGAGACGCTGTAAAAATCCCTTCTTCGCTTAGGGCTCCTCTCTACAGTCAGATCGGCTGGTACCCTACTACCACCTCCTCGCAAGCTGGCACCTTACTCCCTCAATCATCGGTTGTCCCGGAGGACACACGGTTGCTGGCACACCTGCCACACACCTCCTCTCCTCGCTTCTCGGTCACCGCCTTCAAGGTAGTTTCCCTTATATCCTATGTGCCCGGGGCTTCTCCTCCCTCCTCCTGGCCCTCGTCATATGGCCTAGGAGTTCCTATAATGGATTTGAGTTGTAGCCATTGGCCCTTAGGGGTTGGGTTTGGGTTTCTGCCTTCAGGTGTTTTGTTCTTGGGGTTGGGTGCGTTCTTGGGTCACTGTTGGATAGTTAGCTTTCTTTCGTCACTTGGCAGTAGGGGTTATTGGTTCGTAGTTTACGGGAAGGATTTTGGGCAGGAGTAGTTTTTTCCACCCCAGTACCTTTTTTTAGCTCTGTTGTTTGGCCTGGTCCAGGGGGGGGGGCAGTTTTTTAGGCGTTATAGCCAGCGCTCCATATACCGTTTTTGTCCCATAAGTCAGAGGAGGCTGTTTCCGCCAGGGGGGGTTTCCGTATGTTTCATACAACCAATGTATTGTTCCCAACCCGCTCGATATATTTTGGTACCACGTATTCAATTCTGATGCATTTTCTTTACTCTCTTCAATTCTGTGATCCTCAGCACTGTGGTTCACATAGACAGTAAAACAGACTTGCATAATGCTTGTGTACAGGTGCTATAAATGCGCTGAGTCAAAGCTTGCTGGGAGGGGTTAAGGCGAAGAATTCAGCTTCAGAGAATAATTCTGAAGGGTCTACTGCTGAAAGTCCTATGGACATAGGTGGTTCTGATATAGATAATTCGAATTGAACAAAGAGGGTGGGTGGTAAACACGGACCAATACAGAAGTTATGGAAACCCCCCCGGCAGAAACTAACCCCTCTGACTTAAACAAAATACAAAATGAGTCAAACGAAAAAAATCCTTTGCTTTCAGAATCATCAGCGAACAGAGAAGAGATCTTATCAATATATTTGTTATACTTTGATACATACTTTTGTTACACGCTTTCTTGACTACTCTCCAAGAAACCTTATTGGCTCCAGTTACAATTCGTCTTACTTAGAATTGGCTGTGGCCTAACAGCTTTGAGTGACATAAATATGGTGTTTCCAAATCCAACTTTTATGAGATCCTAATAATTACACACCGAGCATCCTTTACCCCCAGCAATATTAGAAGCAGATTTGATGTACCGGACTTGTTCTGGTAAACTGAGATATTGTGGTCTTAAAAATTAAAGCATCTAGACCCAAATCCCCTGCACAAAGCTCCGATTCCACCAATCCAAGCACTCTAACTACCTCTACCTCCCGGCAACTTGGTACCTTCACTGCTCAGGAAATCAATAACCTTGTCGTACTAAAAACTAAACCTGGAATCATGGAACAAGAACTTGTTGCACTTGTGACATTATCGAAGAACGGTCCGACAGAGTGGGAACTAAACAAAATCATTAGTAACATTACCATAAGTACCAACCGAGCACTTACAGAAATGGAGGAAAAAGACTGTTAGATTGAAAACCTAAAGAAGCAGTTAGTGGATATCCAAAGTAGGCGGATTGCAAATTGTATGACAATTCCAACCTCAGGAAAGGCTTCAATAGATCTTTAGGATATTGCCAAATTTTTTAAATCTCAGGCAGTCGCTGAGCATCAAGCTATTACAAAGGAGTATAAGTATGCTACTCATCTGCTTAGTAGTAGAACACCGAAATTAGCAGAATGTACATGAAAAAGAATTGAGACTGAAAAGCTTGAACAGGAGGAAAGATTACCCAAGTGTCGAAAGATCAGTACTACCGCATTATGGCAAGAACAATGCCTTTCAGAACAAATTTCCAAACCTGAAAGGAATGTATTGACACTTGAAAAAGCTCAGAACGATATTGCACATGATGGAGGAACTGAGGGATTAGTTTGTGGACTATCAGAAGAAACAATTAGACGCGTTACGGGACAAGAATTTGTAGAGAGTTTTGAAGAGGAAGAATCCTAGGACTTGTTGATTGGCTTGTAGTTTGGACCTCCGATGTAGATAATCTCTCCAGAGAAATTTGTGTTGCAGATTTTCTGTTATGTTAAAAGCGGGAGAAAAAAAAAAAAAGGTTGACTTCACTAAAATGTAAAACAATGTGCTGTTCACTTTCCACACCAAGCCATGCCAAGTTCAGCCAAGCCATGCCGCACCTTGCTGAGGGTGCCGCCTCACTAAGGGTTCCCCCAGTCTATTCCACAGTGCCATATGGTTCACATTTATCTGTTGTTCTGCTATACCTAGGACACTAGAAGTTTCCCATAGTTTATGATTATGTAAATATAGAATAAAATTATCATAACACTTCTAATACTATAGAAAATGATTAGCAAATAGAGGTTATATCTTATATATTTATTAATTATGTTTTAACATCTATTTTGTTCTCTACTTTTATGACTATTCTCTGAATGCTACTCCTGTATTATTTTCCACTTCTTTGATCTTTGAGTTTGTTACTGCATAACCATGGAGTTATAGAAAAAATTAATATTGAATTCATTTTCCAAAAAGGTATACTGGAGTCATATTACATTACTATAGAGACTCTATAAATTTAAAATATGTACTTCATACTCTTACTTATTATAGCAACACTATTATACTCCTTATCCAAGCTTGTATTTTACAAATCTAGGAAACTTTTTAACTAAAACCTATTAGTTATTATGTTATTGATTTTCTGAAGTTCTTGCAATTCTTGACCCTGTTGTATGTGATCCACAATCTTATTTATCATTTGAAAAGATACTTTTAAAGAATTAATAGTACTGAAAAATCGTTCTATCTAAGATTGTAATTTTTTAAAAGATATTTTAATAGTTTTAGTTATTATCTATTATGCTAATTGAAGTTACAAAAATTTATATCTATAATAATATACTAGGTGGGTGGGGCTTAACCTATTAGATTATAAGTTTTCTTTCCTATCGCTCTTAAACCTACTTAGATTGATGTAGTTTGCCGAGTTGAATTGCTCGAGGGTACGAAATCTTTAAGGACGCAACGGTACTAGTACCTTTAGGGTTGCGGATCAAGCCGAGGGTTTTACTTTAACTGCGAAAATAACAAAACCCTTGAGAGGGTCATGCGTATTTCCACGTTTCTAGTTTTTGCGGTGGGTGCGGAGAGTGGGGATAAACAAGTTGTCCGGTCGCTGAGAGAGAGGCTGGATAGAGCAGCGCAACATGGAACTCTGATAGGGGGTTCGAAAAGGTGTTCTGGCCAGCTCAACCACGTGATAATGTCCAAGGGGGGGACGGGATGCTCTGGTTACCGTATGATCCTGGCCAATGTGCTTGAGTGATCGGGATTGAACAGTGGAGCCGAGTGCCCAGGAGAGGATAGCCTACAAGTTCTTGCAGGTAAGAGTGTACTTGTACCACCTGTCCCCTATTGTACTGATACTGTACCTGACCGTACTCCATTCCTCGAGCACAGGTACTCGAGTACGTTGTCGCGGACAAGGACCCCGCCCTTCCCCTCCTTGTCAACCCCGGGGATTGGGCTTGAGACTAAGATCCAATTCGGTTAGGACGGTTCCCGCGAAACCCCCTCTTGGGTTTTGCGTGGCTGGGCTTGACTGAAAATCGCGCGCGCTATGACCCTCAACAGAGATGGGAGATTAGTTTGTCCCTTCCTCCTCTCCATCCATCCAACTGTGCTACGATCCTGAAGTCGACTGGCAGCAGATGGACAGCCGAAGGAAAACACAGTACGGTACGAGTACTAGTACTTGTATGATACCGGTATGAGCACCTGGTGCCGCGCGAGTTCATGGCGCACAGATATCGGTACATTGTGTTTTATCCGTTGACCCTGATACCTTCCCCCTAGACTCGCCAGGGACGAGAGAGACACCTGTTGAAGAGCATTGAGCTGGAATATTGATTGTTGATTTCCTGTGAACTCTGCGGGTTTATCCAAACAGATGACCTCTTATTGCAATTCCTTCCCCGTCTAAGGCGTGATCCGTGATCCGTTGAATCCTCACAACTTCGATTACGCCGTCTGTTTTGGGCCCCCGGTACGATTACTACCCTAACGTTACTCGTACTTGCGGAACAGTAGCAAGTAGAGTCCGTGTTCCCAACTTCATTATTTTTGCGGTTGTCTCAATCGCAATCCGAAGAAGAATCTTATACTTCTAATACTGGCAACATACCGTAGTTCAGTTGAGGGGGTACCGTACAGCTGGTTTACTCGCCCGCAGGCATGGTACTCGAGTATCGAACAGAAAGGGGGTCCGGACGGAACAACTGCGATTGTTGCCGTCCCGAGTGTGCGCTCACGTTGTATGCGACGCTTGCTCCTGTCAACCCAACGCGGCTCCTGCCGGGAAGATCTTCTGGTGCTGGGAGCGCCCCGCGCATCTGTGGGTTGTTCGCAGCCGCATGGTCCTGGCCCCTACCCTGTCACCCAGCACTTTGTCCCCTTCTCGGCCGTCCACTGGCTCTCGCTCCCTCCTTCCCCTACATACTCGATAGTCTCTCCATCCACAAACACACCCCCGTCCCCTCTCCCTCCCTCGACATTCTTTCATCACCCCCTCCTCTGTCCTCCACTGTTCTCAGCTTATATTACCCTACTCTCTTCGAAATCTTATACGACTCGCCAATTGATTTCTCGGAATACATCATGGGCATATTCTCCAAAAAATCGGGTTCCAGGGCAAATTCTGTCACCTCGGAGAGCACTTGCAAATCGAATCGCAAGGGCTCTCAAACCTCCCTCGCGAGCACAGCCAAATCTCCCACTACAGGTCAGCCAGGCAGATCGTCTTCCTCAGGAAACACTTCGCCAGCGTTGCCCTCCATTCCCTTTGTCGAATTACCACCTGCACCAGATCCAGGCTTGGATCCTTCCGGTTATCTCAGGAGCATCTATGCCGTTCGGGAGCGTTCTAAGTTTGTTATAGAGGCGGCTCTGAGGAACCAGCTCACTAACTTCACCGTTGATATGACCAAGTTTAGGGATGTTGCCGAATATGTGGTCTCTATTATAAAGGTACGGGGCCATTATATCTTTTATCTTTTTGCCCTTCTGGTTTCACTATCTGTGGCCACTGGGTGCAGTGGTTGCCGAAGACTTGAGTTGGATGGCTAACAATTCCATTTGACCTGATTGTAGAGAGACCATGCCCCTGACTATCACATGATTCCTCCTCACGGTCGGTGGCAGCATTTTGAAGTTGGTGGGCGTCCCCGCATAGACCAAATGATGCAATCCTGGCCATCGGACCCCGCGGAGCAAACGAGGAGGCTTATTGACCTGTTCATGGTTTCTGTCTTGCTTGATGCCGGCGCTGGGACAAAGTGGCAATATAAGTCGAAGGATAATGGCAAAGTCTATCGTAGGAGTGAGGGCCTGGCGGTTGCTAGCTTGGACATGTTCAGAGAAGGCTTGTTCTCAAGCAACCCCGAGCAGAAGGAGCAAGTGGACGGTGAGTTTGCCATCTTCGATCTGCCTTGTTGGTGGCCTTGACCCATCATAGGCCGTTCTGGAGTCTCCCATTCACCCCAAGTTGGTCGATACTGACGAGATGGCCTATCAGGTATGGCATTGAAAAATCTGACCCTTCAGGCTTTGGCCGTGGGCCTCCAAGTCTCAGAATCAAACCCACTTAGTGGCCTTGAAGGGCGATCGTCACTTTTGATCAAATTGGGTGAAGCATTAGACAACCAAGACTTTTTTGGCGTAGATTCCCGTCCCGGAAACATGTTAGGTAAGAGATATTCGCTCCATTCAACTTGGATATTGGCAGATTAACTTGATTGCAAGACTATCTTTTGCAACATTCTAGCACCAAGAAGTTCGGGGTCAGCTCAGTCATCCCCATTCCAACTTTGTGGTCTGTTTTAATGGATGGACTTGCGCCAATCTGGCCTCAATCGCGGACCCAATTTGACGGTGTCTCCCTCGGCGACGCCTGGCCCTGTTCCTCTATGCCCCCGGCGCCTGGGTGGGAGCGTATTGTTCCGTTCCACAAGCTCACACAATGGCTCACGTATTCATTGATGGTTCCAATGTCAAAGCTCATGGGCGTGATGTGGGCAGGAGAGCGTCTACTAACTGGGCTTCCGGAGTACCGTAATGGCGGTTTACTGATTGATACTGGTCTCCTCACCTTGAAGGCGTCCCAAATGGAACGTGGCATTAAGGCATACCATGCGAATGCAAAAAAGGCTGGCCAGCCAAACGTCGAAGTTGTACCGCTTTTTACCCCAGATGACGATGTTGTTGTTGAGTGGAGGGCTTGCACCCTAGGCTTCCTGGATATGTTACTTGTGGAAGTGAACAATCTGCTTGGGTTGAAGGTGGGCGAGCAGCTAAATTTGGCGCAAATGCTAGAAGCCGGAACTTGGAAGGTATGGATTTCCCGAAAATGACTGGCTCCTGGCTAAAAGTGTTTATATAGGGAGGAAGGGAACTTGCGGAGGTTTCGAGGCCCAACACCAAAGAGCCTCCTATTATGATCTTGTCGGACGGAACAGTGTTTTAAGCTGGTTAGCACAAGAAGGCCGCGCATGCGACTTCCCCTAACTGTTTTCCCAGTATCTTTTGCCTGCATTCTGGCCCGGATGACAAATTGCCATCGTCGCCTGCAAATTTCCGTATTATTAGTCTCCCTCTCTTTGAAGAGTTTTCTTCCCTTCTCTTCCACCACTAACGTCGGCTTCAACCGTCCGATATCTCATGCGTACGGATTATCATGTGCGCATTTTTCCTTAAGTTTTCTTGTCAAGTGTTCTCGTCATGTTTTGTTAGTATTTTCGCTTGTGACCAAATTTGCAATGCTTACCGACCCTCCCTTTCAACGTTCATTTTAGGGTCTTCGCGGTGGGCTATGGTGATACCAATGTCATTATAGATAAAGGGAGTATGGAACAAGAAAACTTGTGAAATGCGGCAATTGCTAACCCATTAATAGGAGGTGCTTGGTTCTAGCGCAGGGTTGTAGACATCTAATATAACACTGTTTTGATTTCCTCGGGACTGTAGGCACCGGTTATCAGGCTTCCCGATTTCGGCCAATAATACCTCGACAGGAATGTTATTACTGGTATCACAATGTCATGCCTAAATTTCGCAGCTGATTTTTCATTGAACCGGTTCAATTGTTGTTTCCGCAATCGACAGTAGTGCTTTAGTATAAACATACCGGTTGTCTGCTGAATTCGAGAAAAAGATTGCTCTAAAGATCTACAAATTATTTTGTGATTAGTTTTGGGTCCCTTTTAGCATCAGCGAAAATCCTGATTGAGTACCGTACTTGGTAGGAAATCTTTTACCCAAGTAGTGTGCTCGTATTACTGGTAAATTTAGTGGTAGTGCCGGGGATCACAAAGCGCTCAGGGGGGCTGCCGATTCCGGCCAAAATTAGTGGTACACAGCAAGTGCAAGTAGAATATGGTAGCCCATTCCCCTCCTAATTTGCTCCACTCATCGTCGGGGAAGGCAAGTGTGATGCAACTTTTTATTTTCCCGCATGATAGTTGGTGATACAAGTACAGTCGCACCCCGTTGTCCCGGACCTCACTCTCCGGGATTATTCGTTGTCACGGATAATTTTTCAAGATTTTTGCGAGCTACATAGAAATACGCTTCACTGTCCCAGATATTGGGGGGTTCTCGGACCGGATGCAAATCCAGATATTTCTAACCCCTGCTCACATACAAAATATATTCACTGTCCCGGATTTCTTCCCAATCCAACCCTAAATTCTCACATCATAGCTGCTCAAAGGCACAATTGATGGCATTTGTGGTCCACCGGTTAGGCACACAAGTGAAATGTTCCTCCTCATCGGAGCCCACACTATTGTCTTTCCAACCAGCGATCTCTTTACCACCACGGATTTCCTCCCCATTCTGAGGTTCCAAATCTAAGGAATGCTCTCATGGTTGACTAAGCCTATAATAAGAAGGCAAGACTGATCAGGAGCAGGTGATGGGGCCTTGAAGGGAAGGACGAAAATACTGTGAGAGCATCAGGAAAATTTTCCACTCGCATCCTGTATGTCCTGTGTGTCAGACACACAGGACACACAGGACACAAACCATTAATCAGGATGCACCAAGGCTGCCCCTAGCATCCTAATACATGCTTCTGCGCTGCACCACATCTGGATGTTATCTGGACGCTGACCCCTGCTTGCGATGTATCCTGAAAACTGTCGCCATCTTGCTTCTGGGTCTGGATGCCCCTCGGTGGATCCCAGTGGTGTCTGGGGTTACACTAATTCTTCCACCTGGCATCTCAATAGAGGTAGACTGCCGTTAGTGGCCTTGCGAGATCCTGCCTGCTCTGATCCTATCATGATCTCGTCAGGAGCTCACGATCTATATCTCTCCCCTTCTTGTACCCCACAATCCAGGGTGTCTGCATCCAGATAATATGACTTAACCCCAGACATTGTGACATGTTTTGTTCTCCTCCAGATTATCTCGCACCAGGCGGTCACATCTAGACTTCTAGACTTACTCAGTGAGGTATCTGGATTTTGCACAGGTAAAACTGGCCTGGTCAGGATGCCTTCACCATGAGCCTACCCTGATCGTTTTAGAGTCTGGAAGTCTATACCAGGTTCGCGGGGCCTTCGCAATCCTGGGTGCACACTGCTTATGAAATTTAGATGCTGTCCACTACAGCGCTTCCAATATGGAGATCTGCTTACATTTGACTCATGTTTATTGACTTGAACTCTACAGGGCTATCCTGGCTATGCTATTACAACTGGTGATGTTTACCAGCAGCAAGTTTCTTCCCTCCCCCCTCGTAGCTTCTTGCTATAGTTGCTCAAACCCTTCCATCATGAACATACTCTTTCTGCATCTGTTACTCCCTATTCAGGCAATGCCACCAGTCTCCCTGCCAGTACCCACATCTAGCGCCCTGTCGCCATCTCCTAACAGATTACCAGTATCAAAATCGCTCCCTTATACTATCCCCAGATCCTATGAATCCTGCAGACTGAGTGAGACCTGAGAGTGAAGATATCTGAAATCAATATTCTGGCTATCTGTCACTGCATGTTCTGTGACTTCGAGGGGATCCTCTTGACTTGTCAAGCCACAATTGAGAAACTCTAGTCCTTTACTATAGGGTACCTGACTGCCATCTGCCATGTCATTTATACCCTGCGACAAACCCCTGCTGCACTGGAGGCCAAACCAGAGAATCATGGGCAAGTCAGTGAGTTCCTGGCTATGGTGATAGGGCTGACACTGGACAGAGTTCGATTTCCATCATTCTAGTTGTGTGCTCACAGTGTCCCAGTCATTGTCACAGCGTTCCAGCAGATTCTGCTAGATGCCGTGGTTTTCCTCCATCCTTTTCTTGATGGTTGGATGAACGCTTTATACAATCATCTCCTAGACTGTAGATGGAAATTTATGCTAAGTTTGTCTCTGCCATTCAAACAGGTCTTATTTGTTTTGTGACAAGTTAGTCAGATTCATGGCCAATGTACAACAGGAATTCTACCGCCACACCTGCAACTAGCTTGGGCTTGAAGTCGCTCTGCTTGATGTAGATCCCTGTTTGCCATGCCCTAAGGGTATGGCAGAGTATTGCGCAAGTCAAGCTAATCATAGTACTGTTGATTATGTTGATGAAATTGGGGTCTATGAGACCTCACATTTTCTTTCCCGCAAACGACTTACCATATATTGCATTTGGGATCTGTGGAGCAAGGAATCGTAGATGCAGATCCTGTATTCAGTTCATTGGGGGTCAGCACTGATCAGTATCCCAGGATGCTTAACCAGAGGAGACAAACCTCGTACTCTTTTAGGTCACACATGAAGCTGTCATCTTTCAGGAGATAGTCCACCCTCCGTGCAGTAGCCCCACGTTCTTCTGTGAGCCCATATAAATTTACTATGTCATTCTTCACATGGTAGACGAACTGCGCGCATATGCTAATAAGTTTGTTGCTGAACTTTCACTATTAGTACCAAATCTGACATCTCAATATGTCAAGCTAACTTTGCTTACTATGATTAGGGTGTCCTCTGATGGCTCCATTCACCCTGCAGGGGGAATGAAATAGGGTTCCTGACACCAAATATGGTGTACTCTAGACATCAATACAACTGGATTTGGGAGTGGGGCAACAAAAAGAGTATGATTGAGAATCAGATCCTTTGTCATGTCTAAGATGGTTTATTCAGGGCCCATCACCTTCTTGCGCCTTGTGCTAGTCCCATTTCAGCTCGGTCAATAACTAGAAGGATTTGAACTTCTGACATACGATTACTATGTACTATCTTGGTTCAGGGGAGAGGAAAATCGTCGTAAACTTGATGATGGAAAGACAGGCAGGTTATAGGTACCACCACAAATTATTTGCCTGGGAAGAGTTTTCGTCTGCTGAGAATCATCTGTATGCTGTAAGCTAGCACTGGTTGAAATACTCCCTGTTTTCACTGCATTGCCTGCACAGCTCTTTGCTGCTTGTGACACATGACGATGTTCTGATGTGCGTCTGTCGGTGGTATCGGAGTCGGTATCTGGTTCAGTTTCAGTTGACTCCTGTGACACCTGATACTACTCACTGCTATTGTCAGATACATGTACTGTTTCCGCAGTTTCCTAGCCATCAGATTTGATTGCGTGTTCAGTACGGAGTATACTCTTGCTTGTAGTACTGCGCAAGGGCTTGGGAGGTCGTACAAATTGGCTTACAATCGGTGTCGGAGAAGAACGACAATGGGACAGCTGGTCATTCGACCATATTATAGGGAAGCTGTGAGTATTGTTTTGCTGGGATTTGGATCTTGATATTGGTTTGACAGATGCCGTGGCATCAGGCCCGATGTTGTGTTTATGCCCATGTGGATTACCAACTCAGGGGGCCGCCTGACTGTGTAAATGTGATTGTTCTTTGGGCATTTTTGAATTGATGCTTTGATATCACAGAGAAGAAAAGATATGAAGAAAGGCCAGATTTCTTTCATGAGTACAGAGAAGGTCTGGGGTTTGTGTGGTTTTCTTGTGTCCAGTGGGATGCACCAGGTCTTATACGCTAGGGCTAAGGGGTAATTGGTATAATCACAGTCTATTACTCAGTATTGTTGCAAAAGATTCTACCATGAAATAATACCTTTCGAGGCTCCGCATGGCACTGGTGATTGAATACTACTGTCCAACACTTGGGCGTCTTAGTACATGGTGAATCTTGGGTGAACAAGCTATCATTCTACAATGTTATGAGAGAATTGTATACAAAATGTAATTTTGGGAATATTCAGGCATATGTTCACAACAAAAATATAGCAGAGGGAACTCGAGCACGCGACTATCATTGGATGTCCCAGGTGTTTAGTGATATAAATTGAAACTTGAACTGAATCTAAAGCCACCATTCAAGTCAAATCTAGTACAAACAGTAGAGTTATATGACAAGATGTATTACTAGACACTTAGGGCACCTGAAAGGGACTAGAGGAAATAATGTTTATGTCCAGGTGTGGAATTAGGGTGGCTGAACGTTAGTTCAAACATTCTAACAGGAAGTAACAAGCAAGATCAATGGGTGGTCACTTGAGGGGAGGCCTGAAATGGACTGGGATAGTAAGGATCTAAGAATCATGATTTAATTCTATGCAAGAATGGCCATGGATATGAGATTTGTCAGCAGGGGGGGGGTAGAAATGCCAGGCACCCAACTGCAGGTCTGAGAGTAAGAATGCCTGATTTGAATGTGGAAGCAAGGAACATATAGGTAGGATACATTTGATAATTGGTAGTGGAGGAGAAGAATACAGGGTATAGATACTAAAACAATGAAAATTGGGCATAACAGATACCAGAGGCCCAACAAAAATACAGGTGGGGTCTAATACTACTAGAAGATGTCAAAGCAAAAGAAAAAGCCCATATAGTAAGCCCAACAATGGGGGAGAAGTTTACATGTGACTCAGAAAGATGCAGAAGAAGGAGTTCATCATGGGCACGAGGGGTGTAGATCTATGGAATCTAGCACTAAACTAGAAAAATGAAGTTGTCTGCCTCAGTGGCAGACATGGAAAACATTGGTACAGCAGTGCATCATCATGGAGACAGTAGGCAGAGATCTAAGGGATCCTTGACCCAACAATAAAGAGACTAGTAGCATCTGCCTTAGTGCTAAACATGAAAAAACAAGTACGCCTCCTTAGAATCCCATAAAAAACATCTCCAGTCCAAACTATAGAGAGAACAAGATACTTCAGCACTACAC